ATGAACAAATAAACACGGCACTAAAAAGTGTTTACCTGTTATAGAAAACATTATACAGGCACTAGCCTTAACAAATTACACACAGATATACACTCAATGACAAAATACTTTCAACACTTCCTTGTCCAAGCACTAAATCTAGCAAAGTTTCTGATCACAGTCCTTTCACTAACTTCTCTCAGAATTGTGGGGATCAGAATTCAACATAAAGTTTGTGCTGGTTTGACAGCTTCGTTTTGATCATTCCTGGAGATGCATGCACACAAGCTAAATTAGTTCATGTCTTGTGTAAATGCACTATTTCTTTAACGTACATGTACAGGTACTAATTTAGAAGCCAACTTTTAATTGGATAATTAAACTGGTAATTAATCGTCAGAGACCAAGTGTTGTGTGTACCATCGACTGATATGCCGTAATTAGCCATGTGTTACACACAGATGACTTTCTACTCTGTATGTATTGACCAATTTCGTCAGAATACAAGTCAATGTTTTGACAAAAATTAATTTCCAGAGTAGGAATGATTTTTCCCTAGCTTTACAATTGAAAGGACTGAAAAATCACTTCGAATCAAACGAAATTCCATCTCAGTGAAATTTGAGTCATCCGAACTAAAATTACAAAGATATACAAGAGGCCCATGGGCCTTAACGGTCATCTGACAAAAAGCAAGCCAAACCTAGAAAGTGGGTTGAGGTCATTCATTTGAACAAACTTGGTAGCCTGTCCTCCAAGCATCTTACAGGCCCAATATCAGCACTCATGGACTTTTGCTTGTTGAGAAGAAGTTGTTTGTAAATTTTAACATATTTGACCCCTGTGACCTTGAAAGTGGGTTGAGGTCATTCATTTGAATAAACTTGGTATCCTTTCCTCCCAGCATGCTACAGACCCAATATCGGCACTCATAGACATTTGCTTATTGAGAGGAAGTCCTTTGTATATTTTAACATATTTGACCCCTGTGACCTTGAAAGTGGGCCAAGGTCATTCATTTGAACAAACTTTGTAGGGCTCCATGCCAGCATGTTATGGGCCAAGTATTAGCCCCCTAGGCCTTCTAGTATTTGAGAAGAAGTTATTTAAAGATTTTAACATATTGACCCCTGTGACCTTGAAAGTTGTTCAAGGTCATTCATTTGAACAAACTTGATAGCACTTCATCCCAGCATGTCACAGGCCCAATATCTACACTCTGACCCTTTTGGTTAATGAGAAGAAGTTGTTTAAAGATTTTAACATATTTGACCCCTGTGACCTTTAAAGGGGGTCAAGGTCATTCATTTGAACAAACTTTGTAGGGCTCCATGCCAGCATGTTATGGGCCAAGTATTAGCCCCCTAGGCCTTCTAGTATTTGAGAAGAAGTTATTTAAAGATTTTAACATATTGACCCCTGTGACCTTGAAAGTTGTTCAAGGTCATTCATTTGAACAAACTTGATAGCACTTCATCCCAGCATGTCACAGGCCCAATATCTACACTCTGACCCTTTTGGTTAATGAGAAGAAGTTGTTTAAAGATTTTAACATATTTGACCCCTGTGACCTTTAAAGGGGGTCAAGGTCATTCATTTGAACAAACTTGGTAGAGCTCCATGCCAGTATCCTCTGTGCCAAGTATTAGCCCCCTAGACCTTCTAGTATTTGAACAGAAGTTGTTTGAATGAAAAGTTTACGCACGGTGGACGGCGCACGGCGCATGGCGCACAGCAGACGACGACGGATGAAGCACGATGGTTATAGGTCATCTTGACCCTTTGGGTCAGATGACCTAACAAGGAAAAATCAGAACTTGGAAATTCTTTTGATTCAACCGATTTCAAGACAAGTTTCAACTGTAATTACCAACAAAATAAAGTATGGAAAGCAACAACTAGATTATCAATCTACAGACTGATTCACTTATCACATTGATACATATTTACTTTGTGACTATTAGAACAGTATAATGAAAAGTTATCATCAACAATGAGGAAAATACAGCTGTATCTTCTAATTCAAGCATAGATTGCTGTCCTAATCATTAGAAATATACAGCATACATCTAGAAATGTGTGCTATCGTATTACATCATGGGTACTTTTACACTAAAAAAAGAGTTTCTTGTTTGTTCCACAACAAAACCCTATCACAATTACAGCTGTTTATGATGTCATTTTACCATATTTATGGCTTCAAGATAAAAACTTTTTCTAAGAAAGTTGAAGGTGACATCAGCTCATTTTGATAGAAATCAATAGCGAAACTAGAATTATAAATAAACCCTGGATAAAGAACCAGGAGAAAACTGCCCATCCGGTAAAGTAGACATGTACTCTTAATGTTTGTTCAAATCAAGTCTGTAATTTTTGTGTCATAAAAATATACACTACAAGATGTTGATGTTACCAGAGAATTAAGTCACTTTTGTAGAAAATGAGGATTTTCTTTGTCTCTTCAAATCATAGAATGGTTAAGAGATATTTAAATTGAATGGATAAACAGACACAACTTTCTAATTTTAAAACAGTTTGTATTGAATATACATAGGCATATTAAAAGTAAGACGAATATTAAGGCACCTTACCTTATCCCCCAATAAATGTTAACAAGGGCTGTTCAGAGACGGGTTATGTTCCCCTAATGGAACAAAATTTAAGTATGAAAAATAACAAAGGGCTATAACTCCTATATTATGCAAAAGAGAAATATGGTTCTTATGCACTGCACTTCAACTGGTTGAGATCTATCTACCTATGATGTTTTTGTGTTATGTTCTGTACAAAATTATGATGGACAGACAAATAAACGGACGGACAAATAAACAGACAGACAATGCTGCGACTATTTGCTCTCCCTTCAGGGAACATAAAAATCCATCATCCATGACAAAAAACTTGTTCATTGTGCTGAGATGACCAATAATCGTTGACAGTACAAATGCATGTGTTCATTTCCACTCAAACTAGTGTCGATTTCTGACTATCACCCACGATGTGCGAGTGCCAATACATTTGCAATCAATAATTGTATTTACAAATATGCCACGGCTATCCTAACTTGATAGAGGACAGCTCTTGCAGTGCTCTTGGAAGGTAACACTCCACAACAGGTCCCTACCCACTTCAGAATTTGACTATAAGTTAGTTTTACGTCTTATTGTCACAGGAAGAGTTGATGATAGACTAAGATCAGAATGTCCATGTTTAACGTTGCCATGTCTAGTTCATGTCTGTTCATTAGATTTGCCCACTTAAGTGATAGAAGATTAACCACAGCTACAATGGCACAAAATACCATTTGTAATGTAAACTGTGGAATCCACCCAAAAACTGTGAGAAATAGTCTGAGTGAGGCCTACATCACCAGTACGTTGGTTTGTCACTGACACCTCAACATTGTGCAACGTTGTTGCTAAGACATTTCCGTCTGAAATATTGGAGGTCCATGCTCTCCACGAATGTAAGTAGATTCACATTATTTCAATCAGATAGCCATCAATGTGTGTACCTGCATTGCAGATGCATGTGTCTTGGAGCATGACAGATTTGGGAGTGGACTGGTATGGTCTGGGGAGGAATTTCCCATGGTTTATAGTTACCTTCAGTGATCATTAATGCCAAACCAACAGCTGTATGCTACTGAGATGAGATCCTGAGGCCTCATGTTGTGTTTTTCTTTCTAAGGCACCAAGTGACCTTTCAGCATGATAATACTAGGCCAAAATATCACAAGAGACATTCTTGTAACCCAGAACATCGACCTTACTGATTTAGCTCCATATAGCCCCAATTTGTCCCCAATTGAACACTTGTGGAATGAGTTAGACAGAGGAATTCGTAATCGAGCAAACATCCCAAATAACTTCCACCAATTACCCAAAGTACTAGCAAAGGAATGGAATAACATTCTTCTACAGACTCAACCTCCTTATGAACTCCATGCCATGCAGTATTAGGGACCCTATAGCTGTTTTTTAAGGAAGCCACACATGATATAACAGATCAGTGTGGCACAGAGTAATTGGTAATCCTTTGGACAATCTGACATGGTCACTATTCACCCTCCTCACATAGAACAATTATTCACCCTTTTGACATAGAACGACTATTCAACATTCTGACATAGAACGACTATTCAAAATTCTGACATAGAACGACTATTCAACATTCTGACATAGAACGACTATTCAACATTCTGACATAGAACGACTATTCAACATTCTGATATAGAACGACTATTCAACCTTCTGACCGAGAATGACTATTCAACCTTCTGACAGAGAATGACTATTCAACCTTCTGATATAGAACAACTATTCAACCTTCTGACAGAGAATGACTATTCAACCTTCTGACAGAGAATGACTATTCAACCTTCTGACATTGAGTTACTATCCACCCTTGTGACATTGAGTCACTATCCACCCTTGTGACATTGAGTCACTATCCACCCTTCTGACATTGATTTACTATCCACCTTCTGACACTGAGTTACTATCCACCTTCTGACATTGAGTCATTATCCACCCTTCTGACATTAAGTCATTATCCACCCTTCTGACATTGAGTTACTATCCACCTTGTGACATTGAATCATTATTCATCCTTCTGACATTGAGTCACTATCCACCCTTGTGACATTGAGTCACTATCCACCCTTGTGACATTGAGTCACTATCCACCTTGTGACATTGAGTCATTATTCATCCTTCTGACATTGAGTCACTATCCACTCTTGTGACATTGAGTCACTATCCACCCTTGTGACATTGAGTCACTATCCACCCTTGTGACATTGAGTCACTATCCACCCTTGTGACATTGAGTCACTATCCACCCTTGTGACATTGAGTCACTATCCACCTTGTGACATTGAGTCACTATCCACCCTTCTGACATTGAGTCATTATTCATCCTTCTGACATTTATTAGTCATCCTTTGATTCTGATACAGAGCAACTATTTCAAACATAGTGTAGACATAACTGATTCTTCCACAAATATCCTGTACTTACCTGTATTAAGACTATCTAGCTTCACTGGAAGACCTAGCTGGGCAACAGCAATGAGCTTCAGAGCAATGTAAAACTGACTTCGTCCGAAATGTCCAAGCCTTTTAGCGCCACATAATTCTGTTACCTGAAAAGAAAATTTTTTTTTTTAAGTTGTAAAGAAAAATGAATGTGTACATTTACAATTTCATAAGCTAGATATTGGATGGGACAATGGGAGATATACTAGATACTATAGATGTTATATTCAGAGAGTTGAAATATCAAAACAAATTCATCCATACAAAAATGGTTGTTTATACAAGTGAGCCAACACACCTAACTCTGTAATAGGCCAACTCAGTTAACAATAAGAACTAGACAATTGTTTCCATTATTTATTAATAACAAATATTTCATAATCTATAGCAATATCCAATAATGTCAATAAGTAACAATTACACATTCACACTGTATGATAAAAAACTAAAATTATCCATGGCCTTATTTCTGCTTTATTAGAAATTGAAATAAGTCAAAGTTGAATAAAAATTTGTGAAAAAGCTAAGAGTAAACTATATATTGGTGAGAGTGACCTACATGTAGGTCAATCATCTACACACAGGTCAGAATGACCTACATATAGGTCAATCATCTACATGTAGGTCAGAGTGACTTATACACAGGTCAATCATCTATATACAGGTCAAAGTGACCTATATATAGGTAATTCATCTACATACAGGTCAAAGTGACCTATATATAGGTCAGTCATCTACACATAGGTCAGTTTGACCTACATATACGTCAGTTATCTACACATAGGTCAGTTTGACCTACATATATGTCAGTTATCTACATATAGGTCAGTTAGACCTACATATACGTCAGTTATCTACACATAGGTCAGTTTGACCTACATGTACGTCAGTTATCTACACAATGGTATAAAATAGACAATTGTAAAACCATGTGGACATGATTGCTATAGCCTACACAGAGGTACAAATTAGATCCAATTGTTGCTAATAGTTCCCACATGTGTATGTATACGTTGAACTAATATTTAAACTAGTGTATGTACATAATGATGTTATCAAAGGTGTCTGAAATAAGGCAGATCAAATAGTGACATGACAACAGATGTTATTGGACACCAATAGTGATGAGACAACAGATATTATTGGACACCAATAGTGATGTGACAACAGATGTTATTGGACACCAATAGTGATGAGACAACAGATGTTATTGGACACCAATAGTGATGTGACAACAGATGTTATTGGACACCAATAGTGATGTGACAACAGATGTTATTGGACACCAATAGTGATGAGACAACAGTAGTTATTGGACACCAATAGTGATGTGACAACAGATGTTATTGGACACCAATAGTGATGTGACAACAGATGTTATTGGACACCAATAGTGATGTGACAACAGATGTTATTGGACACCAATAGTGATGTGACAACAGATGTTATTGGACACCAATAGTGATGTGACAACAGATGTTATTGGACACCAATAGTGATGTGACAACAGATGTTATTGGACACCAATAGTGATGAGACAACAGCAGTTATTGGACACCAATAGTGATGTGACAACAGATGTTATTGGACACCAATAGTGATGTGACAACAGATGTTATTGGACACCAATAGTGATGTGACAACAGATGTTATTGGACACCAATAGTGACTTGACAACAGATGTTATTGGACACCAATAGTGATGTGACAACAGATGTTATTGGACACCAATAGTGATGTGACAACAGATGTTATTGGACACCAATAGTGATGAGACAACAGATGTTATTGGACACCAATAGTGATGAGACAACAGATGTTATTGGACACCAATAGTGATGTGACAACAGATGTTATTGGACACCAATAGTGATGAGCAACAGATGTTATTGGACACCAATAGTGATGAGACAACAGCAGTTATTGGACACCAATAGTGATGTGACAACAGATGTTATTGGACACCAATAGTGATGTGACAACAGATGTTATTGGACACCAATAGTGATGAGACAACAGATGTTATTGGACACCAATAGTGATGAGACAACAGCAGTTATTGGACACCAATAGTGATGAGACAACAGATGTTATTGGACACTGATAGTGATGTGACAACAGATGTTATTGGACACCAATAGTGATGTGACAACAGATGTTATTGGACACCAATAGTGATGAGACAACAGATGTTATTGGACACCAATAGTGATGAGACAACAGATGTTATTGGACACTGATAGTGATGTGACAACAGATGTTATTGGACACCAATAGTGATGAGACAACAGATGTTATTGGACACTGATAGTGATGTGACAACAGATGTTATTGGACACCAATAGTGATGTGACAACAGATGTTATTGGACACCAATAGTGACTTGACAACAGATGTTAGTGGACACCAGGAAATATTTCAATTACTCAGTACACGCTATAGGGATAATGAATTATGATCATTAAATTTCATTTATATATATATATCCCATTTTTGTACTAATTCTAGACTTTATTCCACATCAGAAATCTTGAGTATTTTTCGATGCAACAAGCAAAGCAAAATAACAATAACATGTACATATCTCTACATTGAAGACTTTTTGTTGAACACTAAGCTAGATGTTAATTATAAGGATGTTAGATCCCAATATAGCTCTCATACCTATATATAATGAAGGACTTTTCAGGACTTCAGGACTGCCCACAACATAATTACTTATCAACACCTACATACATATAGTTATTGTAGGACTTGTCAGGACTGTTACCAACATAATTACTTATCAACACCTACATACATATAGATATTGTATGACTTGTCAGGACTGTTCCCAATAAAATTACCTATAAACACCTACATACATACAGATATTGTATGACTTGTCAGGCCTTCCCTTAACATAATTACCTATCAACACCTACATGCATATAGATATTGTATGACTTGTCAGAACTGCCCCTGTATGACTTGTCAGGACTGCCCCTAACATAATTACCTATCAACACCTACATACATATAGATATTGTATGACTTGTCAGGACTGCCCCTGTATGACTTGTCAGGACTGCCCCTAACATAATTACCTATCAACACCTACATACATATAGATATTGTATGACTTGTCAGGACTGTTCCCAACATAATTACCTATCAACACCTACATACATATAGATAATGTAGGACTTGTCAGGACTGTCTCCAACATAATTACCTATCAACACCTACATACATATAGATAATGTAGGACTTGTCAGGACTGTTCCCAATAAAATTACCTATAAACACCTACATACATACAGATATTGTATGACTTGTCAGGCCTTCCCTTAACATAATTACCTATCAACACCTACATACATATAGGTATTGTATGACTTGTCAGGACTGTCTCTAACATAATTACATCACTTCAGGCAATGCTTACAAACATTTATACCTCAGGATAGCTCTGTGAGTAACATCCCAAGTATTGATCATCAGTCCTGTTTTTTCTGCCACGAATTGGAAAATATTGTAATATTTTTTCCTCAACAACCTGGAAGATATTACTGATTCTCCTTAATTTTAGTAACACGATCTTTTAACTGTGGGAAACAAGATGAAAAAAACCACTAGCAACATAAAACACTGCCTGTAACCTTCCTTGAGAGGGAAGCGTAACTTACAACAGCTATCGTCATTCCATCTGTTGTTTTTTTACAAGACATTTCAATCACTTTGACAGACTCGCCATCTCAAAGAAACTTTGAAATAAGATGGTGATTGTTTACAAATAGTATCTTTATCTCAAAAGCAAGGCTACAACTTACATTTTGCTTTTTTGTCTATTTATCAGTATCTTGCACCAACAGATGGTAAAAATTGCATCATATGCAAAGAATTCACACAAAAAATGTCGAAAGTCTCCCTGTTTTTACAACTTCCTACCGTTTTTTACCTTAGCAAATACAGCACTACAAACCAAAACATGTATCAATTTTAATATGTCTGGCTCTCAAAAATCCATAACGCCTAGGTCTGGGAAATATACACTTTAAGAAACCAATAACACACATGTACATGTCGATCCAATATTCCATCAACAAAACAGTTCTAACTTTAATTCCAGTCTCCAGTGAAATTTACTCTACAGGTATGTGTATGAATCTATTGATTTACAATTCAACCTCAGGGATGTCAAATTACTTTCATGCCCAGAACTAGGAGATGAATATCAGGACTTAATACTCACCATGAAAATATAAATTAGGTTTGATGATATTAACATAAATATGCAAGCAGGCTAAATTTGTTAAGAAGCCATTCAAAGGCAAAGGCTGATCAAGGGAAATTCAAAGGTCAAAGCTGATCTAAGGAAATTAAGTGTCGAGGGTGATCTGGAGAAATTACAGAGTCAAGGCTGATCTGGGGTGTTTTAGCTATTCTGAGGATATAAAGGATTCAAAGGTCAAGGCCGATCTGGGGTGTTTTAGCTATTCTGAGGATATAAAGGATTCAAAGGTCAAGGCTGATCTGGGGTGTTTTAGCTATTCTGAGGATATAAAGGATTCAAAGGTCAAGGCTGTTTTAGCTATTCTGAGGATATAAAGGATTCAAAGGTCAAGTTTTAGCTATTCTGAGGATATAAAGGATTCAAAGGTCAAGGCTGATCTGGGGTGTTTTAGCTATTCTGAGGATATAAAGGATTCAAAGGTCAAGGCTGATCTGGGGTGTTTTAGCTATTCTGAGGATATAAAGGATTCAAAGGTCAAGGCTGATCTGGGGTGTTTTAGCTATTCTGAGGATATAAAGGATTCAAAGGTCAAGGCTGATCTGGGGTGTTGTAGCTATTCTGAGGATATAAAGGATTCAAACGTCAAGGCTGATCTGGGGTGTTGTAGCTATTCTGAGGATATAAAGGATTCAAAGGTCAAGGTTAAGAAAGATATACATTTATATTCAAAGGTCAAGGCTGATCTTGCGAAATGTAATGGTCATTGCTGATATGGAGAGGTTCAAAGGTGACGTAAATTTCAGTCTGATTTGGGGAGTTTCAAAACTGTTTACGTTAACACAATGGGAAATATAAAACATATTGTTTTAAGAATGACCCTGAAGTAAATCT